AGGAAGGAAGGAAGGAAGGAAGGAAGGAAGGAAGGAAGGAAGGAAGGAAGGAAGGAAGGAAGGAAGGAAGGAAGGAAGGAAGGAAGGAAGGAAGGAAGGTAGGTAACAATAGCACTTAGATTCAAATATCGCTTCATAGTGATTTTACAGCCCTCTCTAAGCGGTTTACAAAGTCAGCCTCTTGCTCCCAACAATCTGGGTCCTCATTTTACCAACCTCAGAAGGATTGAAGACTGAGCCAACCTTGAGCTGGTCAGGATCAAACTCCTGGCAGTGGGCAGAGTCAGCCTGCAATGCTGCATTCTAACCACTGTGCCACCACGGCTCATCATAAATCCTAGCTAGCTTAGTAAAGGAAGTTTGCCCTGGTAGTTTAACCAAAAGTTTCATTTAATATTTTGATTGATTGGAATTAAAATATTTGGGTCATATCTCTGAAGATCCATGGGTCTAGTTAGCCTGTACTAATCAACAGCATCTTCTTCATCCTTTGTTTCTACAATCCATTCCCAAATTAAATTTGCTTTTCATTATCATGCCCTACAAGAAAATACTGTAGGACAAAATAATATTCTAAGCTAAATCCGAGGAAAAAAGCACCAGAAAATGAAAAGGGAATGAAATTTCAGAAGTGGAAACCAGCCATTTCTCTCTCACCACACCATCTTGGCTTATTAAAGTGCCTGATTTTTATCTCAGTTAAGTCTTACACTACCGCAACATTTGTGTCCTTAATTAATGTTCTGTGCATTTCTTTCCCTTTTTTCTTTTCTTTGGTATGCTAAAACAGAAAAGAAAATCTCAGTGGTTCCTTTGAGAGGAAGCTACAAAGTTTTTCAGTCCACCTTTCCCTTTGAAAGTGTTCATGCCACGAGCTGGTGTTTAATGTTTTATTGATGCTAAGCAAGGAAACCCAAAGGTGTTTAGGATGATATATACATAATACATACCTGCAGATATTTCAGGATGACAGCACCTGATTTTGGGTAGTGGGGTGAGGCAAGAGCTTCTTCCTGAAAAGAAGAACTATTACAAGCTCTAGAGTGATTTGGTTGTAGATTGCAAGAAAAAAAGATTCATTTTCTTTCCACAGCACCACCCTGTGACAGAAATAATTTTGCAGGAAGCTCTCTAACGTAAACAAGGCTGTGAGAATACCAATCTCTAGAGTTTATTTTGGACAGATGCAGATTGTCAAAAGTACTGTACTTCTGCTCTCATGCAGTGTTAATGAGACATCTTTGAAAAATCTCCAATGTGCCCTCAAAGGAAAAACCCCCAAAACTGCCAGAAGTTTTTGCATTAGCTGGATACAAGCAAACCTTGCAGGGAAAGAGGGCATGAGTTGTTTATATTTCTCACCAACTGCATAAAAGTAACTTTTCATATAGTGTAATAAAGTGATTTTTCCAACTTACATTCATCTCTGGCTCTTTCCTTTTTGCTCCTTGTAAACAGGTAAAATCTTTGAAATTTAAGTTCCTGCCCCAAGCCCTGGAAAACATTCTCCACAGGAAGTACATCTTTTTGCGACAGGTCATTAGTGCCAGGACACACAACAATACAACACCAGAGTCTTACTTACTAGAGTTCTTGAACATCTTAACAAATCACCTTTTTTTATCTCTGCTGGCAGTAGCACCAGGCAGACCCCTGAGTCCTTTCAAAACCTCCACATTTTTTTCCTAAATTGGCCCCTCTGGCAACTGAACTTTGTGATACCTTACTCACCACTCATGGCTTTTGATTTGCAACACCTGATTCAGACCCTGCCTTACCTAGGACAACTTCTTCCTCATGGCCCACAATCCCCTCTCAGCTGAGTCACCATGGTCATCACAGACAGCTGGACCTGCCACCATAGTATCCCTATTAAGTTCAGCAAAGGGGCCATAACTGTTGTGCAGGGACACACCAAAAGCTTCGTGTTTATGGTCCACAGCTCTGACACTGCCCAGATCCAACCATTGCCCACACTGCAGGGTGTTTGTGGAAGACAGAGGCTGATAGCAGGGCAGCTCAATAGAGCAATTAGTTGGCCAACTGAGTTCAGCCTGAAGAGCACAAAGATTCTAGACAAGCAATCTGTCCATGTAAACTAGTAATCTAGCAAGGCTCAGAAAAATATCTGATGCTTTAATGCACCTTCTGCTCTGCTTTCTCACAGCGTGCTTATCCCAGGAGCTTCCATGAAAAGAGTTTGGCCCTGGATGTGACCTGTGGTTCGTTTTTTTCCCCATTTTGGATAATTGGGGAGGGTTAAAAGCCGTGGGTATCGTTAAGCCACCCATTGCTCAAAGAGTTGGATTGAAGTGGTTTATAAGTCTGATCAATCAGTCAGTCAGTCAATTCCAAAGAGTTACTGAATGTTGTGGCACTTCTCCTGTGCAAATTGATCTGATCTGGAAACTGACAGTGGTTTTGTAATAGATAAACTGGGTGAATGTTTATACTAAGGTACTGCGCACATGTCAGTAAGTGGAACTATGCAAAGGTTACTTTTGCAATCCAATATCTTGTGCAAGAGCAGAGATAAATAAAAACACTTCCACATGCATTTTGCTTTTCCTGTTGCTTTTCTTGCTGTTGAGAAGAGAAGTGAATTTACTCCTTCTGGATCGATCTTCATCTCTTTCCAGGGTGAAGGAACTGCTTCAGCTGATCAAGGAACGCTCCGGTAAGCAACGCTGATTTCATGTTCAGCTCAAACTCTGCTTTGTAAATCTTTACAGCAAACCTTTTTGCCATTTCTGCTTCTATCTCCTTCTCCTGAGAAGCTTGAATCATAGGATTCCCTAAGATCTGGAGAACTCAGGCTGAATGACCAATTAAATAACTCAACAATGTCACTACTTGGTTTGTTTGTTCGTTTATTTATTTAGCACATTGTCACCTCTACTTGGTGAATGTTGTTGATGAGGATGTAGCTTTGAACATCATCCAGATACCTCGCACAATCTATTTTGGTCTATTAACTCTAAATGATGAATAAAACCACGTAGCACTAAATAATCTCTCCTTAATTTTGTTCTTGATCCAAGGTACCAACCATGTTTTTCCACCAACCTTTCCACACGTTGCTGCTGCTCTTCTTAGGAGCATCGCTGGTTTTGGCTGCTGCTCCAGAGACAAGGAGTTCAGATCCAAATTCCTGCCCAGTATTGGCTTGTGGCAACCCAGGAATTGCTGGTTTACCAGGGAGAGATGGAAGGGATGGGGCCAAAGGAGAGAAAGGAGACACGGGTATAATTTCTGAAATCTCTCTCTCTTTCTCTCTTTCTCATTCACACATACAAAGTGTGTTCATTACATATCGCTATATATTTAATCTTATTTCTGTATTTGAACAAAAAGGAGGAGGACCTTTAACACAAAAGTTATAGATTCTTCTTCACTTTTTGTCAGGTTAGAAAACTGCCAGCTGGAAGGAGAGGTTAAGTGGGGATCTAGCTTAGAGACTTCCAAAGCAGCAAGCAGCATAAAACTTGACCTCCCCCAAGATCCATGAAGTTGGTCCATCTGGTCATTCCCATGGGAAGGCAAGAGTCTGAGGAAAATTGTAGAATAAAGTTGTTTACTTTAGCTATCTGAGAATGGCTTTGGTTTGCATGCAACTGATCCTTCAGCCTAGCAGAACTTCATGTCATCAGCAGGCATCTTTTGAGTTGGCGATGTCTGATGGATAGATGCCGGGTGGGGTTTGGGGAAGGGGATGGCTCTTTTGGGGGAATGGAGTCCAAGAGATGTTGCTTTGTCTCAAACCCCAGGCCTCCAAGTGAAGGGTCAACCAGGAGTACCCGGTAAGGCTGGTCCTGCTGGACCGAAGGGAAACACCGGAGCCCCAGGACAAAAAGGACAAAAAGGAGAAATGTCAGGTAGGAAATTTTTCTTTGATGGTGAGCTTTGCCTGCATGAGAAGGAAGGGGAGTTTCTGATATTTCCAAGAAGAGCTCAAATATGGCTTATTTTGCAATGTCCATCAATAGCAATTGGCAACATTGTGCCTCGCTTTGCGAGCCTCGTGTCACTTCTGGCGCGGAGGAATTCCTCATCTCCAATCTTGGAAGAACAAATGCAAACTTCTTGATTGTTCTAATTCAACAAAGATCTTGAATTCCTGATTTAAGAGTGAGTCAGGTTACCTCAGCCAAACTGGTAACAATTTCTCAATTTATAGCTGGCCCAAACTCGCATTTATTCTTTATTTTCATCTAAATCCTCTTATTTAACCTAAACACTGACAAATCTTAAAATTATTTAAATGGCAATATGTTTTTAAGCAGCCCTCCTTTCTAGTTATACATTTAAGAAAAGTAAATAAAACCATTGCATTTATCTGTCAATATGTACACTAATTCATCCTTCATTTGTCAAGGATTGGCATTGAGTTATTGATTATAGGGGCTCCATTTGCCACAAGTTGTTTCTCGGTGGGTTATTTCTTTATTTTCTTTTGGAGTTTGGACTTCCCAGTACAATACAGATTTTTCTGATCTAGATATAACAGACCAGGAGTGTCCAACCTTGGCAACTTTAAGACTTGGGGACTTCAACTTCCAGAATTCTCCAGCCAGATGAAAATAAATGGAAGTTTTGGAGTTTGATTAGATTTCTTGTTTTTCTCTGTAGCTGTTGATACAGTCCAAAGGCAGGTGGCTGCTTTGGAAAGGGTGGTCCAGACATTACAAGCTAAAGTCCAGACAGTACAAGCTGAAGTCCAGACATTACAAGCTGAAGTCCAGACATTACAAGCTGAAGTCCGCAAAAGTCAAAAAAGTAAGAAAGAATATGGGTTTGGGGGTTAGCTGTTGGTTTGCATTTGTGTGCAATATCTGGAGGAAGGAAAAGAAAGTAACAATGAGCAGTGTGGCCAACTCATTCCCTTCCATTCAGTGATGAGGAAAGTAAGGTTCTACATTTAGGCAAGAAAATCAAATGCACAGATACTTAGCTCAATGGTGGTAACTGCAAAAGGGATCTTGGACAATCACCTAAACATGAGCCATCAGTGTCTTGCAGGAGCCAAAAAAGCAAATGCAATCCTATGTTGCATTAACAGAGGGGTAGAATCAAGATCACATGAAGTGTTAGTACCACTTTATAATGGCTTGGTAAGGCCACACTGAATTTTATTTTGTCAGGTAGGGCCCAGTGTCAATAAGAAAATAACAGAGTCAGAAAGGACCTTGGAGGTCTTCAACCCCCTAATCAAGCAGGAGACCCTATACCATTCCAGACAAGTGGCTGTCCAGTCTTCTTTAAAAAACCCCAGTGATGAGCACCCAACAACTCCTGGAGGGAAACCGTTCCACAAACGAATTGATCTCAGGATGTCAGGAAATGTCTCCTTAATTCCAGGTTGCTTCTCTCCTTAATTAGTTTCCATCCATTGTTTCTTGTCCTGCTTTCAAGGCTTTGGAGAATAGCTTGACTCCCTCTTCTTTGGGGCAGCCCCTCAAATAGCGGGACGCTGCTATCCTGTCTCCCCTGGTCCTTCTTTTCATTAGGCTAGACAGACCCAATTCCAGCAACTGTTCTTTGTATGCTTAGCCTCCAGACCCCTAATCATCATTGTTGCTCTCTACATCTTTTTTTATAATATGGAGATCAAAATTGGATATACTATTCCAAGTATGGTTTTGCACAGTGGTGGGATTCAAATAACATTGCCGCCAGTTCGGTGGGTGTGGCTTGGTGGGCGCACTTTGCACACATGCGCTCACTTTGCGGGCACGTGCATGCAAAATATGCACTTTGTGCAGGCTCAGAGGCATTTGTGCAGGTGCAGAGGTGTTCTAACTCGCTCCTGCAAGCCTGCACGATCCCGGTTGCTTCAGCAGCTGCCATGCAGCACTATTCTGTGCCGCGCAAAGCAGCTGTGCTTCAAATTCTGCAGATAAAAGTGAGTAAGGGAGCCCAGGTAGGCAGGTGGGCCCAACAGCAGAGCCAGCAGAGAGAACAGGTTCAGTCTCCACTGCTCATTGCTCCTACCAGCTCTCCAGAACTGGGCAGAACCGGTCGAATACCAGCACTGGTTTTGCAAAGGCTTTATAAAGCCTTCAACTCTATCAAAATCCATTTGGATCTTGAGCCTACCTGCTGGAGTGTAGTGAAGAGAAGGACCAAGGAAGACATGATAGCGGTCTTCCAATATTTGAGGGGCTGCCAGAGAGAGGAAGGGGTCAGGGTATTTTTCAAAGCACCCGAAGGCCAGACAAGGAATAATGGATGGAAACTGAACATGGAGAGATTCAACCTGGAAATAAGGAGGAATTTCCTGACGGTGAGGACCATTAACAGAAGTTGGAACAGAAGTTGCCTTCAGAAGTTGTGGGAGTGCCATCACTTGAGACTTTCAAGGAGACTGTCAGAAATGGGTAGAGTCTCCCGCTTGGGAGAGGGCTTGGACTAGATGACCTACAAGGTCCCTTCCAACTCTGATTATCTGTTATCTGTGTTTGGGTTTTTTCACCAGCTTGGTGGTGTCTGCTCATTTGATAAGTTCCCCTTCTATTCCCTCATCTAAATCATTTATGAAGATGTTGAAGAGTACTGGGTCTAAGACAGAACCTTGGGGTACCCCACTGCTTACTTCCCTCCATGTAGAAATAGTTATATATAAATTCATGTAAGTGTTTTCTGCCCAGTGAGATGGCAATATTTATTTTTATTAGCTGATCTCAAAAAAAAAACCAACAAAAAACAACAAGAAAACATTTTTAAACATTTATTAGATATTGATCTTGTTCAACTTTTCAAACCACATACACATTTCCCCCCTCTGTTCACCCCATGCTTTCCAAATTTTCCAAATTTCCAAAAACTCCTTGAAGAGTATTCAAGAGATTTAAATCAGGTGGGCAATAAATAAGAATGGCTGCAGGGAATATAATCAATGGGCAAAGTGCTTTGCAGAATACACATATACACATTTCCCGGAGGGGAAAATAAATCAAATTAACAATGTCTCTATAAGGAAGGCAGAAAAGCTACAAGGATTAAGAACGCTATAAGGAATATCCATCCACAGCTAAGCCCTAATGATTTCTGGACAAAACTCAGTTTTGCATTGGGCTAGATTGTGTTACTTGATTGGAAAAGGTGAGCTGGTGGCCCTGGTTAGACTTGCATGGAGAATAGGCTTCACTGTGGGAATAAACCACAGTGTAGAAGGTAGTGGAAAACCTGGTTAGCTGATGGACCTGGTTAGTCTTGCATGGAGAATAGGCTTTGCTGGGGAATAAACCACAGTGAAGAAGCCATCACGAATCATTTTGACATGGTTGCCAGCTAAATCCCTAAGCTAAGCTAGAAGGAGACCTGTCACTGTGCACCTTCAATGTTTGCCTTGAGTTACGTTGATTTGTTGGCTGGAAGCTGTTTTCATGGGTGATTTATTTTCTGCCTAGTCTTCGCAATGCAGGGGGTGACCACGATTGGAGGGAAAACCTTCGTTTCAACTGGTCAGAATCACAATTTTGCCAATGGGAAAGCTCTCTGCAGCAATGCTGGTGGAGCTCTGGCAGTGGCCATGAATGTGGCTGAGAACACGGCCTTGGCGGCCATGGCCAAGCGGAACGGCAAGCAGATACACCTGGGTGTGACTGACCTCCAGACGGAAGGCAAGTTTGTGTATTTGAACGGACAAGCGGTGAGGTACACTAACTGGAAAAGCTCTGAGCCTAACAACTTGAACAATGAAGACTGTGTGGTACTCATTCCAGATACCCTGTGGAATGACATTAGCTGTGACCACCAAACCCTCATCATTTGTGAACTTTGATCTATCTAGAACGTCACTGTTTGCATTCTCAGGGGGTGTCCATGGGAAAAGAAGGCAAGGGGCTCAAGGGATGCCATGCCATTGTCAGGCCATCATTGGTGCTCTTAATGCCATGATGCCATGACACATTTTTGACATCTTTGCGGCTTGCTATCCATGTTCTAGGAGAGGGCAAAATAACTGCATGAGTACATTGGTTTTGCTTTCCAGGCTGAAAATGCAATTGTGATAACAAAACAAAAACAAAAAGACGCAAGAGAGCTACTGTCTCCGTTTTTCTCCACACGTGTTTTGTCTCACAGTATTTCATTGTTATTATATTTTTGAGAAGCGTCCTTCCAAGTTTCTGGACTCTCGGGAAAAGCTGTTGAGCAGAACGAGAGAAAGAGCAAATTGTGGAATGAACAGTCCTCTCCTTAAATCTGGTAACTTCTCAGATGTTTCGTTCAGATCGAGCTTTTGAAAAGGCCTCCAAAATTCTGAGAAGTAGAACATAGAATAATAGAGAGATGGACGGGGACCTTGGAGGTTTTGCATTCCCCAAATTTTCCGGATTGGCGGCCCAGTGGGGGGAGGGGAGAGGCAATGGTTCTGCAGGAGCAGCAGGGCCATGCACATACACAAGTTCATTTGTGTGAGTGGCATGCACGCCGACCCACTGCCAGTGGCGGATTAAGGCTCACTGGTGCCCTAAGCACTGACAAATCTTGGTGCCTGCCCCCTCCTTTTTACTTACTGTACAAACGAAGCCACACTCTCAACTTTGTGGTGCCCCCTTCGGGCCTAGCGCCTTAAGCACATGCTTAGTCCGCTTCATGGTTAATACGCTGTGCCTACTGTGGGTGTGAGTGGGGCTGCGAGTGCTGGTGTGCACTGCTCATGTGGATGGGGTGCAAGCTGGCCAGCACTCACGCAGCCTGGTTGCAAATAGGCCATGGCATGGTAGTGGGCCACAGCCTGCAGGCTGGGAATCCCTGTTCTAGTCCCACCCACTCCTCAAGCAGGAGATCCTATACCATTCCAGACAAATTGCTGTCCAGTCTCTTCTTAAAACCCTCCAGTGATGGGGCGTCCACAACTTCTGGAGACAAGCTGGTCCCACTGATTAATCATTCTCAATGACAGGAAATTTCTCCTTAGTTCTAGGTTGCTTCTCTCCTTGATTAGTTTCTACCTGTTGCTTCTATCTGGTAGGTCTAGTCATATTATTCACATGTATTAATAATTTTGGAGGGGGGAGATTGCAAGTCTGTTCTTCTCAAAGCATTTAAGAGGACTAGACTTCTTTCTCTTTCAGAAAATCAAAGCTTCAAAGTTCCAACATAGGAATTTTTGACTTGTGTAGGATCCCTAGTATGGTAGACTAATAATAAGAGATTAACAGAGTTGGAAGGGACCTTGTAGGTCATCTACTCCAACCTCCCTCCTGCCCAAGCAGGAGACCCTACACCCTTTCTGACAGATGGCAGTCCAGTTTCTTCTTGGAAGCTTCCAGTGAGGAAGCTAATAACCAGAGACCCTATGAAAGGACTTCCTTTGCAAGCAGAGAACGCTTCCGCACCAGTAGCGTTCCATAGCTTATACAACAGTCGGATTCACCCATCACACTCATATGCACAAACACAAAGACCAAAAAACTGTGTTCTGAACTTCCACACACTGGCAAGACCAGTAAAATATTGAGACAGTGGGACTGGCTTGTTTGGGGAAAGAGTTTGCCTCCCCCCTTGTGGCCACCTTCAGAAGTATACCTGCACTTCTCCATGTGTTGTGTGATAGGACTTCCTATGAAGTCTGCTAGACCAGAGGGTCTCAACCCAGGGGCCACAGGCCACTAGTGGGCTATGAGGGGCTTGCAACTGGGCCACGGAAACAGCCAGCAAGCATGCATGTGTGCGTGGATTTAAATGAGTGGAAGGTGTGCATGCACGCTGCACACACAAATGGAGTTGCACACTTATGCGCGCGCTTGCCAGCCGCCCACATGGAAGCATCCCCTCTCCCTTTCCCGCCTGTCCACAAAGCCATAAACATTGGGGAATTATGTGATGGACATCCAACATTAAACCAATGCTTCACCCTTCCAATTCTTCAGTGACACAAAAGGGTCGATTTCAGAGGTGGGATTCAGCCAGTTCGGACCAGTTCTGGAGAACTGGTAGCGGAAATTTTGAGTCATTCAGAGAACCAGCAAATGCTGGCTCTGACTGGCCCCGCCAACCCCATCTATTCTCTGCCTCCCATTGAGCCCCAGCTGATTGGCTGGGTCTTCTTCGGTTGCCCTGCCCAGGAGAACGGAGCAGGAAAGCAGGTTAGTGGGGTGGGGAGGGAAGGGGGATTTTGCAGTATCCTTCCCCTGCCATGCCCACCAAGCCACGCCTACCAAGCCAAGCCACGCCCAGAGAACCAGTAGTAAAAAAAATTGAATCCCACCACTGGTTGATTTGTGTCTGCTATGCCCACCATGGGGTCTGGTCAAGGCTTCTTGTGCACTTTGAGATCTCATCCGTCCATTCTACTTCTTTATAATTAGATGATATGGAGAAGAAAGATCAGGTTAGAGATTTTAATAATATTTTACACATTTCATGTACAGAGCTCTTCCCTTCAGCCTGAATTGATGAGTTGATAAACCAGCATTCGTTATGAAAGCCATCCTGCCTATGCTCGGATTGAGTGATTAATGATGATGTGACATCAAGTCCTTTTCACCTCCTAGTGGCCACCAAGATAGATTTCCTCCATGATGTTCTATCCTTAACTTGTTTTTTCAGGTCTTCCTACAATCCTCATTGTCAGTGGAATTGAGATATGCTCCAATGAAAAGGTCTTCAAACTTGACAGCTTTAAGACTGGTGGACTTCAACTCTCAGAATTCCTCCTCCAGTCATGTTAGCTCAGGAATTCTGGGAGTTGAAGCCCATAAGTCTTAAAGCTGTCAAGTTTGAAGACCCTTGCTCCAATGCAACAGTCAACCTCATGTACTTAGGATTCATGGATGGTTAGGATACTGAAAATATATTAAGTGGAAGGCAGAATGTATAACACCAATTGTTAGAAACTTATTTGTTCTGACCAGGAGGCCATTCTTTTCCTCCTCCAAGAATAATGGATGGAAACTGATCAAGGAGAGATTTAGCCTAGAAATAAGGAGAAATTTTGTGACAGTGAGAACAATCAGCCAATGGAACAGAAGTTACCTTCGGAGGTTGTGGGAGCTTCATCACTGGAGGCTTTCAAGAAGACAATGGACTGCCATCTATCTGAAATGGTGTAGGGTTTCCTACTTGGACTAGATGACCTCCGAGGTCCCTTCCAACTCTGTTAATCTGTTAAAATCAACTTCAGATGTTTCCAAAAAGATTGCCAAATTTCTAATAGCTATTGCTCATTGCAATTGCCTGATGCCTCCTTCATACTACTAATTGCTTTTAGGCTGTGCAATGTTGTTTTATAACTTTAAGTTTGATATATAATTGCATTGCCATGTTTTCAAAAGTGGATTAACAATAACAATAGCAATAAAGCTTCTTTGTATTCTACATCTACATAGCACGTATCTTTCAATCGCTTCCATACAAACAGAACTTGCCGGAGTTCTAGATCTTTCCAAGTGAAAAACGCGACAAATCAAATCGAGCTTCCTTATTTAAATGAGTGAATAGCAAACCCTGGACAGACAAGACCAGGCCGAGAATATTTTAAGTTTGCGCCTTGTGCTACTGCAGACTTCTAACAATTTACAGCCACACATATGCTGTTCACAGTTGTTAAAAGGGAAAGGTTCCCCTCGCACGTATGTGCTAGTTGTTTCTGGCCCTAGGGGCACCGGTACTCATCTCCGTTCCAAAGCTGACGAGCCAGTGCTGTCCAAAGACATCTCCGTGGTTATGTGGTTGGCATGACTAACACCAAAGGTGCACTAAACACTATTCCCTTCCCCACCAAAGGGGTTCCTATTTTTCTACTTGCATTTTTACGTGCTTTTGAACTGCTAGGTTGGCAGAAGCTGGGACAAGGAGCGGGAGCTCAATCCATTGTGCGGCACTAGGGATTTGAACTGCCGAACTGCCGACCTTTCTGATCGACAAGCTCAGCGTCTTAGCCACTGAGCCACCGCGTCCCATTCATAGTTGTTACGGGACTGTATAAAAGGATTTTGGATTGTCAACAGGCTGTTCTTTTCACTCAACGCCAACACAATGCAGGGAGCAAAGGAGAACCAGCACCTGATTAACTTCACAATGTATTATTTTTCAGAAATAGCTATCTGCATGACTCAGATGTGTACCGAACACTTCCCAGCCTGACCAAACAGATCCTTTAACAAAAAACAAATAAATGTCTTAAATAACACCAATTATTTGGAGAGGCTTTCTTTCCTTAGCCGTTAAACTTTATGGAGAGTCTCTGCTCACCGTTTAATGTTGCTTTAATTATACATTAGCTCTCTTTGCCCCCATTGAAGCTTAGGCATATGGTGCTAATGGGGTTTTTATAGGTGTTCCGATTAGCCAATTTGCACAAAGAAGAGGGACTTTTTTTGTTGGTCTGTTGCTGTTGTTTTAAAGCTACAAACTACTTCCTAGGTGTTTTGAATGAGGAAGAGGCCGTGCATTGTGCATGCTTGAAGAAGTGATCCCGTTGAAATAATTCAGAGGATCGCTTGAAGGCAGCAGAGAGTTAATTTTGGGTAACTCTTAGCTCCCATCTTAACGCCCAGCCAGAATTCTGCAATCCAGGTACAACTCTCCTAATTATGCAATTGGAGATATTCCAAATATTGGAACACATAAAATATTCCAAATGGATGAGAGACATCCATTTCACAGGAATGGTATAAAGTCTCCTGCCTCAGGCAAAGGTTTGAAATAGAAAACCCCCAAGGTCCCTTCCAACCCGATTATTCCGTGATTCTTTAAATGCAACTTTCTTAGATGTTTAATTGTACTACAGAATAATAGAGTTGGAAGAGACCTTGTAGTCATCTAGTCCAACCCCTCTGCACAACCCTTCCTGCCCAAGCAGGAGACCCTACACCATTTCTGACATTCCAGATGGCAGCCCAATCTCTTCTTGAACGCCTCCAGTGATGAAGCTCCCACAACTTCTGAAGGCAACTTCTGTTCCATGGGTGGATTGTTCTCACTGTCAGAAAATTCCTCCTTATTTCCAGGTTGAATCTCCCTTTGATCAGTTTCCATCCATTATTCCTTGTCTGGCCTTCAGGTGCCTTGGAAAATACCTTGACCCCTTCCTCTCTGTGGCAGCCCTTCAAATATTATACATTACAATATTATACAAATATCCTTACCTTACAACAGAGCCCAAACTTTCTGTTACTGAACATTTTTAAGTGAGTTATAACCTTTCCTGCCACAGCTGTTAAGTGAATCTGGCTTCCCTTTTGACCTGGCTTGTCAGAAGTGTAGAAAACTTGATTTCATGATCCCAGACACATTGCAACCATCTGTGATGACCCAAAGGGACGTGGCACAAAAGCAACAAAGTCACAGAAGTAAGTAAAGTCCCTTTAATTCCTCCAACTTGGCCCCCAATGTCCAGTTATCCTCGGCTAGAGAAAAAACTCTCCCAAGAACAGTCTTTAAAGGGAAGAAATTCAGTCCAAACCCAAAGTACATATAAATTATAAATAAAACCCAACACAAACCACGCAGCAGCAATTAATGAGA